TGGTGAACGTTGGTAATTGGTGAGTGTGCATTGTTTGGATTGTATTGTACATTAGTGATATGTATTTCGTTTTTAGATATTGGTTGGAGCAGTGCCGTTCGAATGTGGTTTGTGTTCTATTTGTCCCTTGTGTTAGATGTCCTGAGTGTATGAAGTGTATTAGTTGGTTGTATTGGAGTTTTTTTATCGCGTTTGGTGATTCAATGAGGTTCTGTAGTGGTTTGACCCGTTGTTCCCCAGTCTCGTCTAGTAGGTCTCCCAGTGAAAGGTAAGCTTTTGTTTGGAAGAGTTTTAGCGCCTTACCGTCTGCCCCTGGTTGGAAGAGTGGATTATGTGAGATCGGGTAGAGTGGGGATGTGTGGGGTGATATTTGTGTGTTTGGTTTGAGGGTTGCCCAGGTCCGCAGGGTGGGGGTGATTGTTGGGTGGGGTCCTTTTATTAGCAGTGTTTGTCCTGTTTTGTGCCATGGGATCGTGTATATTGGTGCTCTGAAGAATCGGTGTTGCTCCCGTTGTGGGGAGACTGCCTGCAGCCCAGACAGTCTCCCCATGGCAGATTAGGACCCCTGTGGCCATGTGATCGCTCAACAGAGCGATCACATGGTCACAATAGGTTTCCATGTGTATGCCTGCAGGGGGACTGCCTGTGCTGACAGGCAGTCTCCCTGCTAGTGTAAAATCATAAAAAAAATAAAAGTTAATAAAAAAATAAAATAAAAAATTATATATGTGTGTATATAAAAATGATATATAGACATATATTATATATATATGTATGTGTGTGTGTGTGTGTGTGTGTGTGTATATATATATATATATATATATATATATATATATATATATATATATATATATATATATATATATATATATATATATAATTATATAGAGGATAAAGAGATGCACTCTCAGGACTTTGAAAAAAATAGTTAATTTATTCCAGCAGGTATAACATCAAAGTTTGATGTTATACCTGCTGGAATAAATTAACTATTTTTTTCAAAGTCCTGAGAGTGCATCTCTTTATCCTCTATATATTTTATCTACATGGGATTGCACCCAGGCGATATTGAGCTACACATTTGAAAGGGTGAGTGCCAAGAAAAACATTGTTTTATTTATATATATATATATATATATATATATATATATATATATATATATATATATATATATATATATATATATATATATATATATATATATAATGTCATACTAAGTGTATTTTTATATTAATATGTACAAAAATACACTTATAATTAAATTACACACGTGTGTGTGTGTGTGTGTATATATATATATATATATATATATATATATATATATATATATATATATTGTATATAAATATTATAAAATACAAATAAGTAATTTAAATTAAATAAAAACATGTAAAAATAATAAAAAAATTTCAAAAAATATATATCTATATGAAATTTTATTCTAACTATATTTTGATAGTAATATATATTTATATCAAAATACACTTAGAATGAAATTGTATATATATCTATGTATATATAAATAAATAAAAATAATACGAAATATACATATGTCCATATACAAAATTACATAAATAATTATATAAATATACACATATAAATATGCAAATATATTTAAATTCTACGTGCGTATTTATGTAATATTTTTACATAATTAAGTAATTTTATTGATTGCAATTTGAGCGACCTGCCTGCCAACCCAGGCCGAAAGTCCATAGAATTTAATTTGCTAGCACTATATTTTAGCCTGTAACTTTCTATGACACCCTAAAACCTGTACATGGGGGGTACTGTTTTACTCGGGAGACATCGCTGAACACAAATTTTAGTGATTCAAAAAAGTAAAACATATCACAGCGATGATATTGTCAGTGAAAGTGACTTTTTTTGCATTTTTCACACACAAACATCACTTTTACCGATGATATAATTGTTGTGATACGTTTTCCTGTTTTGAAACACTAATATTTGTTTTCAGCAAAGTCTCCCGAGTATAATAGTACCCCACATGTACAGGTTTTATAGTGTTTTTGAAAGTTACAGGGTCAAATATATGGGTCAGATATTTTTACATTGAAAAAGGCCAGGATGGTTACGTTGCCTTTGAGAGCGTATGGTAGCCCAGGAATGAGATTTACCCCCATGATGGCATACCATTTGCAAAAGAAGACAACTCAAAGTATTGCAAATGGGGTATGTCCAGTCTTTTTTAGTAGCCACTTAGTCACAAATAGTGGCCAAAATTAGCGTTTAATTTAGTTTTTTTACTTTTTTCACACACAAACAAATATGAATGCTTACTTTGGCCAGTGTTTTCGACTAAGTGGCTACTAAAAAAGACTGGACATACCCCATATTGAATACCCTGGGTTGTCTACTTTAAAAAAAATATGTACATGCGGGGTGTTATTAAGAGATTTATGACAGATAATAGTGTTACAATGTCACGATTGATACATTTTAAAAATGTATTTTTTGAAACTGCAATATCCTACTTGCACCTATAACTCTATAACTTGCAAAAAAAAAGCATGTAAACACTGGGTATTTTTAAACTCTGGACAACATTTTGAATCTATTTTGCAGTTTTTTTCATTCGCTTTTGTAGATGAGTAAAATATTTTTCAAGGAAAAGTCAAAAAACATGTATTTTTTTCATCTTTTTTTATTGTTTTAAAATTAAATTACATGAGATTATATTACATAAATTTTAAAATTAAATTACATTTGCAGGTTTTAGGGTGTCTTGGAAAGATACAGGGTTATATATAAGACTTGGAAATTACATTCTCTGGTCTTTCTTCCTAGGTTGTCAGTAAAAATTGGGTTGTCAAATTGTAATTAGTAAAATATACATATATATCTATTTAAACTCTATGTGTATATTTATGTAATTATATGTATATATGTGTATTTTTTTAAATTTTATTATTTTTAATTATTTATATTTTTAAAGGGTTATATAGAATTTCATTCTTACTGTATTTTGAAACAAATATATAAATATATCAATATTAAAATACACCTAGAATGGAATTACACACACACACACACACATTATATATATATATATATATATATATATATATATATATATATATATATATATATATATATATATATATATATATATATACACACACACACTTATAATTAATTTTTTTTTGTTTTTTGGTATTTTTTTTTTAAAATGCATTCATTATTTTTATTATATATATATATATATATATATATATATATATATATATATATATATATATATATATATATATATATATATATATATATATATATATATATTGGAAAATGCATTCATACTTACCGTAATTTTCTTTTCCTGGCTTTTATTCATGTCAGCATATACATCAAAGGCTTTAAAAGGAGGCTCCATTCCTAAAGGTCCTCAGTCAGTAACAAGCTCTACAGTAAATAGAGACACTGATGGGTGGGTAGTATATGCAGCTCCAATGCTCAATGGATACCCTTTGGTACAGGTAGAAAATGGCATTGATAAGCTTTCCCTTTAGGCAGGATCTTGCTAAATGCAAGACAACCATATCCTGTTGCAAACTAGTGAATTAGGGGTTTATAGGATCAAGGCTGAAGTTCACACATTCTCCTTGCTGAGGTACCAGCAACAGCACTTTCTGTGCTACCACCATGGAAGCTCCTGATAGAGGTTCGAAGGATGGTTTAGTCAGAGCCCGTGAGACCAGTGGTACGCCACATATTGGCTTCAACACCGTCAGTGGAGGCTTAGTTTAATCGCTGCTTACATGAAGCAAAGCACCAGGGGCTGCAATGTTCAATGGGCATTGATGGCGTCATCCCATCAATGTGGAAAGTGCAGATATGTGCTCCTCTAGAGTGTTATAACTCAGATCCTTTCTAGGCCTGATTGAAGAGTAATTCCAACCTATATTCTTGAGACCAACAGACAAATACATGCCACATTTTGTAAAGTAGTTATAGGACTGTAAGAGGATCTCAATGACCATCCCAGGGATGCCTATACTTAATGGGACTCCAGCATCAACACTAGAACTTGAGGATCTTTGTGTGTCAAGGGACCTTGTAATAGGTCTAGACGTACTGGAATTTCCTTTGGAGGTTCAACATTCATCTTACTCATCATAGGAATTTAGAGTTTACGCGGCCTTCCACTATCTCCTTTTGAATTACCTTTAGGAAAGTTGAAAACTGGAAAAATATGTACATCATACTAAAATTCCAAATTTGAGTCAGCGTATCCTGACCGTGATCATTCAGCTTATAATTGACCAATGAGATTCTGTTCACTGGAAATCCAGACATATATTAAGAAACTGGAAGAGATACTTTCACAATCTGTGGAACTGTTCCTGAGATAGGGAAAAAGCAGAGCATAGAATTTTCCACCCAGAAATGTCAACCTCTGAGCTGTTGTGAAACGTCTTTTCTTCATATTCATCAAGCAGCCAAACTTCTGGAGTTCTGAAAGAACTAGATTCCTCTGTGTGCCTGCTTTCTGTGGGTCTGAGGTTACCAGAAGTAGATCATTCAGATAGGAACCAGATGGAATCAGGTGGTGCTCTGGACTCTCAATATAACTATACGCATATATAAGGTTCTTGGGGCTGCAGTGAGGCCAAATGGTAGGGCACTAAATTGGAAGTTCTCTCCTGAGATGATGCTGAAGAGCTAGTGCTATTGGAATATGATAGAAAGCATCCTTGAGGTATATAGAATAATAAAATTATCCTTCCAAATTACAAGCACCAGAAGAGGGGCGAATAATGTCCCTGGAACCGCTCTTGTTATGGAACCTAAGAAATCACCTCTTCGTCCAGAAGGTTTCTTACATATTCCTTCAGTGCTATACCTTTTGATTTATCTGTCTGAATTCTCTTGTCAGTATAGAGACTCCTGTGTCTGAAGAAAAAAAACTTCAGTCTATATCAATCTGGACTATGGATACTACTCAAGTCTCCAGAATGTGACAAGCCGAGGTATGTCTGATCAGAAAAAAATAAGGCTCCTAGTACAGAGGACAGACACAAGTTTATTGCTGAAGAGCAAAATGATTGCTTCATATCTTTATTAGAACCTCGAAAGGCAGGTTTACAAACTGCCATGAGTTACCTCTAGAGTATTCCCTGCAGGGTCAGTAACCCCACGTATCTCAGAAATGCTGGTCACTGGAGGTTCTCCTGTCTGACCATGAGGAGCTGGGATTTTTGGACCTTCAGTCGTGAGGTACAAATACCTTGCAGCCCTCAACTGCCTATGGATCCATCCAAAACTTTCCCAAACAGCAGCTCCCCTTCAAAAAGAATGGTGTAGAGGGCAGACTTGGAGGATGAATCATCATCCCAGAAACAGAACAATAATGCTTTCCTAGCTGCTATAGATAAAGCCAGAATATCCTTGTTACATCTAGGGAAGCTTCTGTGAAGAAGTCAGTTAAAACATGAAGACTTCAGACTGCATCTTCAATCTTAGCTCATAATATCTCTCTCCGTAGTAGCCTTTAGATCTTTAATCACACTTTTTCTAGAAACAGCAGTGAAAGCTACAGCTGGATGACATCCTGCATCTGCAGGCGTATAAATTTGGACAGGTCTGCGTCCACTTTTGATCCATAGGCTTGCGTAAAAAAAACAAAAAACAGAGTGGTCAAGCAGTAGCATCGTCCCACAGGCTACCCTGGAAATCGGTACATCCACTTCAGGTGGTGTAGTCCAGGGGGTGGAAGTACCTTCCTCCACAGGGTAAAGTTTGGCCTCTATTTCTTACCCCTAAGGCCTCTGAAATACTTTGGAACTTCCTTTGTAAGCCATGACCGCATGTCATTTGGCTGTGCAGTTATAGGTGATGCTGAAGCGGCTACCTTCTGGAGACAGTCAGTGCATAACTGTTTTCCTTCCACTGCATTCCCATCACAATCGGATCATGGTGTAGATTCAGACATCAAGTAAACAACAAATAAATAAATAAAAAATAAATATTACCTGTGGCAAAGTAAAAAAAGAGCACCGTCAAATTCTATTACCAAGAAGCCAGTCAAACAGATTTAAATCTGTCTGAAAACCGCACTTACCCATGTCTGGAGATCCTGCAAATACTTTCCAAATAATTTTGTGAGGTTCACTGTAATTTTCCCTCCATTTTAGGTACTTTCTGGCAATTGCCCTTATCCAAGATGGCTGCGCAACATGTATTCCCATAATGCAAGCCATCGGTATTGGGTCCTTTAAGGCACAAACTGCTCTTGCGCGGGCATCTTCTGAGTGCATTTGCCGTTTAGAGACTGGGGAGAGAGTTCGGTCTGCAGCATGCATGGCCCCTGAACACACAGGGAATAGGGAATAAATCTCTCGGACCAAGGGGAAGCATTAGACATAACATAAAAAATGCCTGCAAGGTGATTAAAAGGCAACAAGGTGCAAAAGTCAAAGTTTAAAGGCACCACTGTATAAAGGCATCACAGCCTAAGGCACAGCTGCATAATGCCCCACAGCTTAAATACATCACACATTAAATGTATCACACCATAAAAGAATTACAGCATAAGGCACAACTGCATAATGCACCACAGTTTAAAGGAATAACAGTGTAAAAGTACCATAGTATAAAGGCACCCTAATAATAAAAGGCACCATAATATAGGCACCCTAAAATAGTAAAAAACAAATAAAGTAATGAAGAGAAAAAACATACATATCCATAAGTAAAGGGAGCAAATTGCTCACATCCTAACGGCTATAGGACAGAAAAAAGACTGAGGACCTTAGCAATGGAGCCTCCTTTTAAAGCCATTGGTGTTTTTCCTGTCCTATCGGCTGTAAGGGGCAGAGCTTACCCATGATGTTTATGCTGCCATGATTAGCCAGGAAAAATATATATACAATATATATAATTATTGTGTGTATCTATATAAATATATATACAGTGGGACCTTGGTTTACAAATTTAATGTGGTTTCCCTCGGGACGTTTCTTATTGCGAAAAATTTGTAAACTGAAACGTGGTTTCCCATAGGAATGCATTGAAAACCAATTAATCCGTTCTGGATGTCAGAAAAAAAGTCAAAACCAACCCACAATGCAGAACACACAATAAAAGGCATGCATATGACGAAGCTCAGCTCCCTACCTTTCCACAGCTTGAGAAATGCACCAAAAAGTCTCAAAACAACTGCAAACAATTTCCAGAATGGCTCCAAAACTCAATGCAAAAGCCGCTCCAACACCTCCACACTCAACGCCACGTGCTACCCACAGGCTCCAGCATGCAGGGGGCGGTGCTATAAACCTCCCCGGTGCAATGCATCCTGGGGAAACTTGCTTTGTATTGCGAAAAAAATGTAATCAGAGGTATTATTTTCAATGGATTTTTATTTGTAAACCGAAAATTATGTTAACCGAGGCGTTTGTAATCCGAGGTCCCACTGTATATATACATATATATTCTATATAGATGTAATTTCATTCTAAGTGTATTTCTATATTAATATTTTATATTGATATATTAATATAAAAATACACTTAATATGAAATTGTGTGTGTATATATATATATATATATATATATATATATCTTATATATACACATATATTTAATTTGTGTGATGATTTTTCCATTTTCAAGCAGCCCAGGCAGTCCCCCACAGGCAGCTATGCCAGCCATATGATCGCCCTGTAAGAGCGATCACATGACGAGTGGGAGCCTGATTTGTCAGGTGGGGACTGCCTGTAGTGTCAGTCTTACTAAAGCGGATCGCGGCGGGGATAAGTAATTTGGAGCTCCTGGAGCCGAGAGCCATTTTGGTGTTCCATGCTGCCGCAACGGCTTTAAAGCCCATTATAATGGGGATGGCATGGAACACCCTAATAGCATTAAGTGGTTAAAATGGCACTGTCACCATTTGCAAAGACCCTCGACGGTGACGTCGCTGCTGGTGGTCCGATGGCCAGCGGGTGGGGGGCAAGCAAAGGTGAGTTTAACTTGTCTGAATCTGTCCCTCGCTGGCATTGCCATCTTTGTGTTCTGGCCAGTCCTCTCCACCAGGAGCCGACGTCACTGCTGTACTTTTGTACATTAAAAATGTTAGCCCTTTCAATCAGTGCACGTAGGAAAGCATTGGGAATATAGTGTGCATGCGCCGCAAAATGCTGCACTGTGCCAATCAAATGGTCTATATGAGACCATAATGTAATGAAAACATTGCCATTCCGGCAGAATGGTAATGGTTTTAGTTGCAGGGATAAAGTGACAAGGGCATGGCACCCAGTCCACTCCATGACTTTCTGAGATTAAATTGTCTGGGTCCCATAGTGTTCCTTCAAGATTTATATATTGAACTCTGATTTGTACATATTTGAAAACAGAATAACAAAATTTAGAAAAACATTTACGTTGTTACGAAAATTCCTCCTACTTGGCAGTTTTAGCCCCATTTTTGCTATCAGTTTTTTCAGTTTATTACAGTTCAGCGTAGTGAAGAAACTCCGCAATGTATTCGTAGCTCAACTTACAGACCCTACTGAGCAGTGTGCGATTTTTTTATTTTTTTATTTTATTTATTTTATTATTATTATTATTTTTTTTAATATAGGCAAACATAACCCATTATTAATGCATTATTAAAGGAAGGTGGGTGCATATCTGTCACTAGAGATGACAGTCTAAAAACAAGCCTCAAAAGAGCAGAAAAGAGAACTGTCTGTTGTAAGATCACATATTTAACCAATCTGCTGCACATTTCCTTGTTGAGTCTATTGTAGTTGTTTTTCCTTTGTTTCTACATACTTTTATATATTCTTGTAGTTCTAAATTAGGCCACATGAAGTTATTAGCTCTAATTCTTCAGTCAGTTTTTATTATAGAGTGCTGGGGGAGGGGAGTGGAGTGCAGCATGTCTGAGAGAGATTGGTTGGATCATGTTTCACCCTCCCCCTCCTCTAAAGAAATGTAAAGTGCTATTAGTGCAAAACGTTGTCCTCCCATGTGATTTGTGGACTTCACAGCTTGGTCTGTAGTCAGACACTTCATTAAATGTTATTTTACTATCACTGCAAGCCAGTTAGAGAGTGTGCTAAAACCAGGAGGCACGCTTTCCTTTTGGATATTTTGAATAGTCGCTGGAAATACCTGTACATGAAATGCCACTTTTCTCTTTTTGCAGGTAACCTGATGTTTTTTTGGGGGGCTAATATTATGGAGGCAAAATATTGGAGGCAACATTTTATTTAATTACTTTTAGTAACTGTATAAACTGTGAGTGTGAATGAACAGAAACAAATTTGCATCAGAGTATTGCCACATTGTTGTTGTTTTGTCTGTTTTTAGGGGTTTATTATTATTTGTAAAGCGCCAACAAATTTTGCAGCGCTGTACAGAGGTTTTTTTTACGTGCCTTCTAGCTTATATAGACATTGTAAACAAGTGGTTGTTATTGGCATGGCTTTACTGAAAGAATAAAAGTGCTGAGTTTGGAGAATTGTTTAAAACTTCTGGGTCTTATTCAACCACAAATCTAGAAACCTGAGCACAGCCAGCCAGCAGGCAACCAAGCAGGACTAGTGTGTGCATAAGTAAATGCAGTACTAGCTGGCTTTCAGATCAGTTTAAAGGAAGGAAATGTGTATGTAATAAGGCGTGCTTAAAGGGAGGGAAGATGAAAAGGAGGAACTTCTGCAAACATACTGTAATCTGATATTCAGAAAAATCAGCTATGTAATCTTGCCTGCAAATTCCTTCCCCCTTTAGTATGCTAGAAACCAGTTTACTGTGCTGTGGCTGCTACAGTGTAGCTGAAGGCAGTGTCTGTGAAGTTGCTCTGCCATACTTAGAAGGAGACATCCAGGTTACCAGTGTGATCCACTCCACAGCTTCAGTGCAACCCAGGCTTCTGCTTACTATTGTACAGCCAAAAAAAAAAGTGAGGCTTTATGTGGGAAGCCCTTAGTAGGGAACTGATTTACATTACCCAAGCTAGCAGGCAGAGCTCCTTGTCAGCAGAGGTTGCTTTTTGGGTTGGTTCACATGCCAGTCACGTCCACCCTTTGGAACAGCGAACAGCAACACCGGGGCTTCATCAAGTGATGAGAACAGACGTCAAACTGGCCTATGAATATTGATGTGGAGGCTAGTCTGCTTTCGTAGAGGAGCAGAAGGAAGCAAGATGGCTGCCCTTTAGGATTTGTTAGAAAGGAGACCCAGACTGTGTTTGCTGGATTTCTGCAAAGCTGAGGGACATTTAAGAGGTCAGAGATCTATATTTATTCCCATTTGTTCTTGCCTAACCTTGTCTTTTTTGTTTCTTTTTTTTTCTCACTCTTGAAAGTAGCACTGGTTTTGTGTAATGTGCAATAATAAAGAGGAGAAAATATACTGTTTCTTCTCCAACATGGCTGACAAATAGTTTTTTTTATGTGCTTTTTTTTTTTTAAATAAGACATCATTCCACCACCTTCTTTGTCAGACATTCTTTGAGTTTAATACAGACATTGTATATATTTTTCTTTCTTTAGTGTGCAGAACTGCAGAGCTTCTGTGGTGTGTTTTTGCCATTTTTCTAAATGTTTCCTGTTCTGTCTCAGTGTAAACCATGTCTGAATACTTAATAATTATGCTTTCATTTACAGTTAAAATACTATATAGCAGATATTTTGACTCTTTCATTTTGCCTTTGTTTAATATATTCAAGCAAACTGATGTATTATTTAAAACCATACTTTATTTTTTTATTTTATTTTTTGTTAAGCTAAAGTCACATGCTTAAGAACATAACCTGTAAATTCAGCATTTTAAGGCATGGTATGAACTAATTTTTTTCCTTTGGGCTCCCCGGCATGTGTTTGAGAATACCTTGAGGTTTTTTTTTTTTTTGCCTTTGTGCTGCTAGTGAATCAGCTATTCTTTGGATTGCTGGTGAGTGACAAGCGGACACAAAGACAGGGACAGTCAAAGAAACATAAGAATAGAGTGGCAAAGAAGACAATTTTAGAGTTTGAAGCCTGCCAGGTTAAAAGGTTTGAAGGGTGCAAAATGTATTCCAGGACAAAGCATTTAAATATCTCATATTCAGAAATGGACCTGTCAGTTATTTTTTCCGTAGTATTGAATCATTAAAATGACGAGGCAGAGAGCTTAGTATAAGGATGATAAAAATCTCCTTTTGGAAATAAGAAAGTAAAAAAAAAAGTCACGCAAAAGATATGAGACATCACTTAATCTTATGATCTGTTTGGCACCTCCTAATGGAGGGTAGATGGTAGATAAGTGTGCAGTGTTATTTGTGATGTGTGACCATTAACGCCTACTCAGTGAAGCGTTAAAACACATTGGTGATCATGCTACCTGTGTTTCAGTAAAGCCTACATGAAATGATCTAATGGCTCTTTATGCCGTGCCTGTTTTGATGTGAGCAGATGGATAATCCTATGTTGAGAAATGATTTGTCAGCCCGCTATTTCCATTGGTAAGTCAGGTAGATGAAGCAGGCATCAGCTGTTCATTATAAAATATAAGGTCATCTCAGTGCTGTTGGTTTCGTCACTGCTTGGCTGAACCATACACAAAGCGAGGAACAGTGCGCGGCAGATCCATTCAGAAATCTACTTCCTAGTTTGGATGTCCCCACTTATCAATGGTCTTTTTCCAGAACAAATTTAGGTGCAAGTGTTTTGATGCAGGTTCATAGAGGTAGTTCAATATGTATTTTAATAAATGTCGCAAATAGTGCATGGGGGAAGCACAGTGTAGATGTAATTCTATATTTACATGTGTATTGCAGCACAAGCAGTGAGTTTGTACATGCTTTCACTGAAATGGAAGCCTTTGGGAACAGGACAAGGTTTGGAGATGTTAATTCTTAATGCTAAAACAATAGCAGTTTAAATCGGGCATTGCTAATTGATTTTCAAGAGTTTCTACACATGTTGATTATGAATAGTTTCTAAATGTCAGCAACCTAATGCCTTGTAGCTTCAAATTCATAATTTGCTAAGAGGTGAAATAATGGTGAGTATACCATAGATTTGCAACCATAGCTCCTTTTTTTTTTTTGTAGGGACACTTATGGGCAATATGTACCCTAAGTCTACATTTTCATAAGGGCTGCCTACCAAAAAAAGCATTTTTCACTTGAATATAAAATTCCTGAGACATTCAAATACAGGACCCTGTGCTTTTTGCAAACTAAAACAAATCACAGCTGTACCAGCCAAAATCTAGTTGCTGCTAAAGGTTTATGTACTTTTTAGTTTGCTCACAGATGTTGGTCATATACCTTCCCAGAAATATGGCAGTCTTCACTACTCCAATGGTTTGCCTTTATTTAAAATTCTCTTGGTAGTGGAGATTAATAAAAGTGTTGCAAATAATAAAGTTAGGCAAACTGGAGCAATCCCAGTGAAAACCAATTCAATAATCAGTGGCAATTCCTTGGGTGTCGTAGTGATTTTATAACTCTTCCCAGTATTTGTATTTGCAGACGTATGATGCATTTCATCCTTTTCTACAAAATAGTACCATATTTCTGTGTACTGTGTGGGTGTGATATATATAGTGCAGCAATTTGCTGCCATCCTCATGGTTCTAAATTAGAATACAGGTACAAACACTCAGGCATACCATGCAGATGGAGAGCCTTCAATAATATCACATAAAGAGAAAACTACTGGCTTCTCAGTAAAAGAACTTGAACTGGAAAAACTAAATTTCAGTGAGTTAGCTTTCTGAGCCACAAATGCTTAAAATGACAGGTTTTAGCTGTGAGAAACATAAAAAGGAAAAATTTAAACATAAATCCAAAATTAGTGCTTCTGTTTTGTTAGTTTTTTTTCAAGATCCCATTATCATTTTTGTCCTGTCTCACCATCTGCATCTTTACTTGTTGACAGATTTGTTAAAATGTTTTGAATTCAGTCCTGCTATTGGTAGTGGAAGTTTGTATTTCTCATTCAAAAGAGTACTGGCACTCATTGGACAGTTTCTGGCATTAATCCAGGGCACTGGAAGTGTTATGATGCAGCGCGCGTGGTCTTGGCCTCTCCACATGTCAACATTGTTTAAAGAACAAGCCACATGCGTTGGGCTCAAGGCTTGTTATGACTGAGACATTTTCAAGGTAGTTTGTCAGCATTGGGGTTGCGTTAGGTAATAGGGCTAGTACAGATTTGCAAAGAATATGGCATTTGGAACCGAGCAATCAATATGCGAACCCTAGGGACAACATGCTCCACACTTATACTAATATTCAGTGCAGAGGTTCACCAAAAAATTGGTTCACATTGTTTGCCTCTGTTTGAACATGCAGTAATTTATGGTGTACAGGATTAACTGTTTACCCTCTCAGCGGATTATACCACGTTCAAATTTGCATATGGAGAAGTCTACCCAGGCAGCCAGCTAGCTTTGACACTGGTAGATGCAGGGTGCCAAGTTTCTAGGAATGTCAGTGGTTACACTTGGAAAAGTAGTCTGCAGAACAAGACCACAAATGATTTTGTCTGATACACAATATTCTAGTAGTAAATACTGTTTTATGATTCCACTTGAGGAATGTAACCAAAACATTTTACATTGGCAATGTTTTTTTTTTTTTATGCTAGATAATTTATCATATTTACAATTAAATTATATAATACAGTCATAATTTTGTTTGTGTAAATTGATGAAATTGTGTTAATCCCTTAAATATTAACTGGGCTGTCAATATACTGAGTCAGGCACTGCTATTTAGGAAGCTACTTAATTTTAGTTGAAGTTGTGCTCAGTAGTTTGTCTTTTGCATCAGAGTTTTGTGGTAATGTGTGTAGGTGTACTGGTGTCCTGGAAGCTGTCATGGTCTGTTGGGTGACTGTCAAATTAAATGGTAGATCTGAGATACCTTAACAACTATTTAAAACATTAGAGACTCCACAAATTTCTTAAGACTAGAACATATTTTAGGGTAAGGAAAACTCTCAAAATTGCTTTGTCAGATGTTCAACAATGATGACAGGAAATGCTAATTCACAGGAAGATCAGTGGATAGCCATGCATAGATTTCAGATTTAATTACACTTGCTAGGAATAATCAAAAGTGTGCATTGTAAATGGTTTGATTTTTATTTCAAGAAATATGTGCAAGTTTCAAAATCTGTGTCATATCCAGTTATGCTGTACAAGTACACTGTCTTTGTGGCAGGGTCGTGCATCTTTTGGTTAGACAAGGTTAGGCGTGACTGCCATCCAGTTTATTAACAATTTAATGCATTTCCCATGGGAACATTGTTATACTATGTTGATAAGGTAGGCCGGCAGTTTACGAATTGATAAGTAATGATACCTGTGTATTAGAGAATTACACCATCTAATGACCTGAATGCACTATATTTTTTATTTTTGCAACATAATGTAGCAAATGATACATTAATCTTTGGGAAGGATCACAGGGTATACAATGTGTCTTTTTTTTGTTGTTTATAAGTTTTTCTATAGTTGTACGAGTTGTAGGTCTGTAACAAAACTAGAATCGCACGAACACTTTATAAAATGAGGTTTTTCATACAACAACTTAGTGCAAAGAAATATTCTACATATAAGCCAGTGGACTTTAGTTTTCATTTGAATCAATTAGCACTTGCCTTACTACTAACAGTTATTTTCTAAAGAGAAAATTCAATGCGAATCCAAACTGAATTTAAAATTTAAGATCAAAATAGTTGAACTGGACAAAATCTGTCATTTATCCTTTCAGTTTGGCTATTCTGGCCTGTAACCCTGTAAGAGCATTAAAGGAACACTACAGTGTTAGGAATACAAGCCTGTATCTTTAACCTTAAATTCAATGATTTACCATAAACTTTTGCATCACGTAACTGGGTTTAACTCGGTCAATGCTGCAGAAGCTTCTTTAAAACTAAACAACCACTTCACCCAGACCACTTTGTTGAGATGAAGTGGTATGAGTGACTTTAGTGGTTCTTTAACATTTAACATGGAGTATATAGGAAGTGGCGTCTGACATACCCCAGATGAGAAGTTAAGTTAAAGTGTTATAAAACGGCATGACTACTTAAAATGGGGGGGACTCAGGGCATTCCAAGTATCATAACCATTATGGAGTGCTTTAATGTTATGGTGCTTGGAGTCTTCATTAAAATTATATTTGTAACAAGTTTAGATTTAAGCCTGCACAATGGTTCTGCACAATGTATTGAACA